GACCCCGCATCTGGCAACTCTTCATCCTGGGTCAGCACTGCCCCGTCGTCTACGTTGACCGAAACGGCAAGACCTTCGACGAATTTGGGATGTCAGCCTGGTCTCCTGATCGTCTGCCCTGGCTTGCTGTGGACCCGTGACGCAATGTGCGGGGCGGCTACGACAGCGAAGAATGATCACGACAACGAGGACGACAGCGCTCAGAACGACATGTTCGGCGTCGGTCACAACCGCGAGCACAATCATGGTCGCGAACACGTGCACGATCGACGGAACGGTCCCGATCACGACGGCGGCCGCGATCACGACGACGACGACGACTGCGGCGCCGACCACGAAGGCGATTTTGGGTGTGCCAGCCTATCCATATTTTATTATGTGCTGTGCTGTCCTTCCCGATGGGGCCTGGCACCAGGGCCGACCTCCCCGCCGACGCCGAGCCCGAGTTCGACTTCCAGTGGCTTGCACTGTCTTTCGGTGCGGCGGCTGCGCCGACTCCTGGCTCATCGAATGGGCCGGCAGCGTGACGGGGAGCAGCTACACGACCCCGTCAGCCGTTCACACAGAGTTTCTCCACAGCATTGCTGGGACTACGGTCCCGGCCCCGACGCCATACGGACGGCAAACGCTACGACGACGGCGACAGCGGTGACCTCGACACAACCGGGAGGGGGGATTCCGTGACATCCACATGCAACCCCCAATGCGGTTACCAACATTTTCTCCACAGAGCTTCGGATGCCAGCCGCATGACACCGACAAAGCTCGCCCAGCTCACCCACTCCCTGGCCGACCAGCTCGCTGACACCCGCACCGACTAGCTCGCCGACCCTCGCACCGACCAGCTCACCGATTCCACACCGACCAGCTTGGCAGCTCCCGCACCGACCAGCTCACCGACTCTCGTGCCGACCAGCTCGCCGATTCACGCGACGACCAGCTCACTGGCTCCCTGCCAATTCAGTTCACCGGCTTCCGCGCTGACCAGTTCGCCGATCCCGCGTGGACCAGCTCACCGACTCCCGCACCGACCAGAGCACCGACTCCCGCAGCGACCAGCTCGCCGACTCCCACACCGACCAGCTTGCCGACTCCCTGGCCGACCAGCTCGCTGACACCCGCACCGACCAGCTCACGGACTCCCGCACCGACGAGCTCACCGATTCCCACACCGACCAGCTTGGCGGCTCCCGCGCCGACCAGCTCACCGACTCCCGTGCCGACCAGCTCGCCGACTCCCGCGTCGACCGACTCACAGGTTCCCGGCCCGTTCAGCTCACCGACTCCTGCGCCGACCAGCTCGCCGACTCCTGCGCCGAGCAGCTCACCGACTCCCGCTCCGACCAGCTCACCGGTTCCCGCATCCACCAGCTCGCTGACTCCCCAGCTGACCAGCTCGCCGACTCCCGCGCAAACCAGGTCGCTGACTCCCGCATCGACCAGCTTGGCGGCACCCGCTCCGATCAGCTGGCCGACTCTCCCGACGACCAGTCGCCGACTCCCGCGCCGACCAGCTCGTCGACTCCAAGCCTGTCCAGCTTACCGACTCCAGCATCGACTAGCTCACCGACTCCCGCGCCGACCAGCTCGCAGACTACCGTGCCGACCTTGCCTCCGCCCAGTACCGTATCTCCACTGCCGCCTACGGTGCTGGAGAATGCAGGAGATGTCCATGATGTCGGGTGGAACCATGCTGGTCAGGGCCAAGATGATGGAGCACACCACGTTGGCAGGGTTCTGGACGCCACCCCCGTTACCATATTTCTTACGCTTTCGATGTTGCTGCAGATATTTCAGGACATGTCCACGAGGCTGTGTCTTACCACTCCGGCGAAGCGCTGGATGCTCCCACATGCAGGCGATCCAGTGGAGTGTTCTGTCGGGATCACTGTTTCCATGCCTCATCACACACAGTGGACGCACCAACTCGGTGACATCGTAGACTCCGTGACGGAACGCACCCCGTCCCTGCATTTCATCATTGCGGTACCACGTTGTCCACCCCGACAGTTTCTAGCACAACGTTGGGGCCCAGCATTTTGGAGTCGTCCGCTACCACGGTGTCACCGCGTCGGCCTGGAGCACCACTTGGCCATCTAACGTTACGTGTTTGCGAACGAAGTCGATGTTCACCGTGACGAAGTCAAGCACCACGCGTCGCTACCCTGTACCGTGGAACAGGACCGAATAATCCTCAGCGGCCTCACCCATGTCATCACTGACGGCCTCACCCACACGGGCATCGACAGCAGCATCAAGGGCAGCGCCCGCGGCGACTCCTACAGCGGTGCTGGCTTTGGCCCCCACGGCATGTCCAATGGAAGCAGTGGCTCAGGCGCCCGCGCACAGGGTGCATTAAGGCGTTTTTTCCCCCCTCTCACCTGTACAGACTGATGGCTGGGCGCTGCGCCGTGTGCCTCGCCGCTGGTGTGGACGCTCCCGCCCTGCCAGTGGCCGCTCACTGTGCATTACATGCCGGGGCTGCCGCGCAGATGGGCAGGACAGAGCTGCGATTGGCGCGCGCGCTGGACGCTGCCGCGGCCCCGCGGGTTGCCATGCCATGGCCAGCTGTCGTGCCGGCCGCCCTGGTGAACGGCGACCCTGCTGAAGGCTCCGCCGTCCCTGACATGGATGACGACCTCTCGTCAACCCCGCCACCGGAACTCGCCCCCTCTCTGGAGCTTGCCCTCTCTGGCCCGATGTTCCACGACCGGCTCGAACAGGAGGTCCTCCGCCACTTCGATCTCGTCCAGGCCGCGATGCAGAGCAGGACGGATGGGGCCAGCAGTTCCGTGGAGCACCCCCGAAGAATTGGAGCACGCTGCAGGGCATCCTCCACAAGTTGGGCTTCGCGTCGGACGCCTCCGACCCCTGGCAGCGGCTGGGCTACGCCGCGCTGGAGGGCCCCGCGCCCACGGCCCCGGCTCTGGCCGCCCGGGAGCGCACGGCTGTACAATTGTGCGCTCTTGGCAGCAAGGCCGACTGGCTGCCCGCTGATCGGCAGGCGGCGGAAACCGCTCTCAGCAGCTTCCGTCTTTCCGCCGCTGCCTGCTTCCCTCTTTGGAAGGATCTCGGCACGGAGGCCCTCGCCCTCCTCCGTGACCAGACAGGGCAGGACGTGTGGTTTTCTCACGCAGTGGTCTTCGCTGCTTGGCCCTGCCCAGGCCGGCGGGCGTCATCAGGAACACACTCGCGCGCTGGCGATGATGCTGGAGAAGGGGATCGAGAGTGCCTGGCAGGCCTTGGACGGGCAGCACGTGGTCGCCTGGATCCCTGAGGACGAGCAGTGCTTCCCTTCCCCTTCCTTCTCCTCTTCGTCGTCTTCCTCCTCTTCCCCCCTTCCTCCTCTCCCCCCTCCTCCCTCCTCCCCCGATTGCCCGAGCCCGGGGCCACTGCAAGTTTTTGGCCTCTTCACTGCACTGCTGTTGGCTGCTTCGTCGCGTGCGTCCGGGGGAAAAAATGCGACCTCAAGCTGCAGGGCGGCGCTGCTTCGCCGAGTCAGCGCGGGCGCACGGCCGGCCTCCCTTCGCTTGCTCGCGCCGCCCCCTCTTTTCAGCGGTGCGCACGACGTGCAGCACATACTCGACACTTGGTGGTCACCGCTGCTGGGTGAGAAGTGGGCCCCCCTCGTCCGAGGCATCGGCTTCTCTGACGAGCCGCTGGACATGGTGCTGCGTGGACCTACCACGCCGCGGCACGTGCGCATGGGCTGGCTGTCTTCACGATTGCTTTCGCCGGCGCACGCGACCCGCCGAAGATGCTGCAACGCAGAGCCCCTCTGTTGCAGGTGCCCGTGGTTACGCCGATGTCTTTCGACATGAGGGCGGAGGACGTGATGAGTTTCGCAGCCCTCATGCAGGATCCCGTCCTGCAGGGAGCCACCTGGCGCAACCCCCGTCGCAGCCCCGCGCGCACCGTGGAGATGCCGAGATTCGTGATTGACGTCCTCGTCCCCCCGACCCTCGGCGAGTTTGATCTGACCTTGATCGGCCAGGCACTCCAGCCACGCCTCCCCTCCACAACATTCTTCGGCTCGCAGGCCTTGTGCACAGCTCCTGACGCTCTCATTCTGGACATGAACAACACGCGAGGGCTCCACCACTTTTGGCCGCTCTGTGGCCAACTCCTCGTGCTGAGCCAGTCGCGAGCCCTCCTCCTCACGGAGGCGAGCAAGGACACGTGGGTCGACACCGTGGACTGCGTGCTGCGCGCGGACCCGACCACGGCGGCGACTACGCTGCGCTGGAAGCCGTCCCGCGGGGGCCGCCCCGAGGCCACCCCTTCCGCGACGCAGTCGGCGCTCGCCGCCACCCGCCGGAAGGCTCACCGGACCCCGGCCGCCGTCGATCACCTGACGGAGGTCGCCGTTCGGTGTGAATTGGGGCGAGAGGACGCGGAGGTCATGAGGTTGCTGCTCACGCACGCAGCCTCAGCGACCGGACTGGCGATCCAGGAGAATTCCAGGGGGGCGCACTGAATCGCAACGAGTGCGAGCACATTCCCGCCGAGTTGCACGGAGGACTTGGTGGCCGCGTGCGGATACTATTTCAGGATGCGCAGGCGGTGGCCCGCCTACACGCGGCCCTTCATGGACAGTTCATCCAGGTGGGGCACCCCCAAGGTGAGCGTGTAGGTGAGGAATGAGAGATTCGACTTGGACACTGGGGCGGGAAACGGGGCTCGGAGGCGGGCTTAGTGCCTCCCCGCCTCCGTGATCTGTGGCACGTGGCCGGCGGCCCAGCGCCGTTGGGAATTCAAGTTCTGGATTGCATGGGCGAGGTAGGCATCATCGTTGTTATCGTCATGCGGCTCCACCTGCCTGAGGACAGGCCGACCCGCGGTGGCCGTGATCACGAGCTCTGCTTTCCTGGCCAGATTTTGCGGCATTCGAAATCGACGCAAAGAACTTCTTCATCATGTTCTTCATCTTCTTTCTCTACTGGGTTGCAGCGCCCGGCAGCGGTTACATTACCTGTTCGGCATCATTCGGCAACGCCTTCTGCATCTACTCCTTCAGCATCTTCTGCTCCCTCCTCTTCGATATCTGGTTCTCTGTTTCCTCAGGCAGCTGATTTGGAAGATCGCCTTCGTCCGCGGATCGGCCCGTTCGTTTTCCCGGAGGGCACGGTCACCCCGTGCCGCCACAGCCAGTATGCAGATGTTCCGGCGTGCGTGTATCAGCAGCGGCGTCTCCGTCGAGCGCTCGGGGTCGACCCTTCCGTGGAGCTCCCACGCGGCCGACTTTCACGGCCACCGCCGACGTCCTCATCGTCGGATCGTCGGACTGGACAGTTCCGGGGCGACGTGGTGATTAGCACATAGAACGCGCAGGCCCTCTTCGTGTCGGATCCCACTCGGCGTGGTTTGAAGATGGGGTACGTCCAGCACTTGATGCGCGCGACAGACATCCTCCTTCTGACGGAGTCATGGCACCACAGGGGACTTTGCGCTCTGCCGAGCCCTTCATGGCTGCTCATGCTGGTGGTCCGCGGGCCCGACTACAGGGCGCGCCGGGGTGGGGGTCGTCGTGCGCTCCTCTTTCCTGGACCTCTTCGACTCCCCGCCGGTTTGGTCGGTGATGTGGCGGGGCCGAGCGGCCAAGCTTTCGCTTCGAGGCGCAGCTGGGGCTCTCGACGCGGTGGTCGTCTATGGTCCCACGGGGTCGCACCTGACTGAGGCGGAGTTATTCGACGTTCGCATGTCGGAGCGCTCCAGGTGCCGCTCCTTCACTGGTCTGCCGGCTTGCCTCCACGCCAGGGTCGCTGGCAGGCTCACCCCAGCTCGCACTGCCCTCACCTTGCTTGGGGGTGATTTCAATTGCGCCGCCGAGCCCGGAGGGCGACGAGCGCTGGCCTCGCAGCAGGAGTCGGGAGGGCGGGATCAAGGGGAAGAGCGGCATTTCCGGTCTGCGATCGGTCTGCCTTTCGATTTGCACGAGATGCACCAGCCAGATTTCACCCACTCTTCGGCGAGCTCGCAGTCTCGAATAGACAGGTGGTGTTGTAATCAATCGGTGTCTGAACAGCTGGACCGGCACCTCTCCTGCTGTGCACTCCCCTGGAAAGTTGACCTCTCGGCGCACCGCGCGGTCACCTTCGCCCGCCGCGCCCCGCAGCGCGTGCCCGCGTCGCATCGACCTGTCCCGGAGCAAGCTCTCCAGCACCCAGATCACGCCCAGCGCGTCCATTTAGAAAACGGTGAGCTTCTTCGTCTTCACCCGGGCGACGTTGGTGTCCAGAAGCTGAAGCACCTGAAGGCGGCGACGCCGCTGGCTGGCATCTCTCTCGCAGGGGAGCTTTCGAGTTGCCCGCGCGCCGAGGCGCTCGACGACAGGCTGGGGGTCACCATCCGCTTCATGCGTTCCTTCGAGCGGGGGCTGCCGGGGCGCATATCTTCGTGCTTGGCCCGCTATCCCAAGCTGCGGGATCTTGTCGGCAACCCGTATGACTTCACCGGGAACGTTACAAGCAAGCTGCATCGGGTCTGGGAGCACGCGCTCGAGCTGGCTCGTTCCCACGCGCTGGGCGAGTTGGGCAAATCGCACCAGGCGCTTCACGGTTCCGTTTCTTTTCAGGCCACAAAAGTAAGAGCTCGCAATAACCGTTTGATTTTTCGACTTCGGCCCGGACGGTTTGCAACAGTCCATGCGGTGCAGGGCGCGCGGGGGGAGCTACAGACGACGCCAGACGGCATGGCGGACGCCCCTCGCCAGCACTGGGCCGGGGTCTTCCTCGCGCGGGGCGTCGACGAGGAGAAGTTGTCCGCGTGGTTGGGGGGCGACGCGGACGCCCGTCCGTTGTCACACCTCGCCCCGTTCCCCGCTCGCAGTTTCCGGCTGCGACAGAAACGCATCAGGTAGGTAATCCGTAGCTCGAACCGCTCTTCGCCAGGGCCAGACGGTCTTCCGTTTTTGGCTTGGAAACAGATCGAGAGTTTGGCCACGAGCGTGCTCTACGAGGCGTTCGTGGACATCTGCGGGGAGGACTGGGCTCGTCGGCTTCAGGAGCACGCCCTGGACTTCAACCATAGCCTCCTGTTCTTCATCCCGAAGGGCTCGCCGGGGCAGACCGAGGGCGTGGATGCGTTTCACGGCGCCGCGCAGGTGAGGCCATTGAATGTGACCAACGCGGACAACCGGCTTCTCGCGAATGCTGTGAGGCTGGTCATCGAAGACGCGGTGGCCGCCAGGGTTTCCCCCGCTCAGCGCGGGTTCCTTCCCGGGCGGTCCATGCTTGCCAACGTCGTGGGCGCCGACGAGGAGATGGCGGTGCAGTGCGTGGAGGGCACTGGGGCTATGCCCATTTACTTTGACTTTGAGGCCGCGTTCCCGTCCTTGGAGCACGCCTTCCTCATGCGGCTGTTGCGGCACTTCGGCTGGCCCGGCTGGCTGATCCGCTTTGCGCAGGCGCTGTGCCAGGGCAACTTCTGCGACATCGCGCTGAAAGGGGTGCGGTGCGAAGGATTCGCGCTCACCCACGGGTTGCGGCAAGGCTGCCCGCTGTCGCCTTTGCCCTTCGCAGTCGCTTCAGATCTGCTGCTATGCCGGCTCCAGCGCCTCCTGCCCGACGCCGCGATCAGGGCTTGCGCTGACGACCTCGCACTTGTGGCAGCCAGGGTGCTCTCGAAGCTCCCGCTTCTCCACGAGCTGTTCGACGACTGCGGCAGACTTTCTGACCTCCGCCTCAATATCAAGAAGACTGTGATCGTGCTGGTATTCACCTGCTCGGTTATGGAGCTCCGCGGAGACATAGCTGCCCAGGCGCCAGCATGGGGGGCCATGGCGATCAAGGACCAGGCGAAATATCTTGGCTTCGTCTTGGGCCCCGGGGCGGACGAGTCCAGCTGGGAGGCGCCCTTGGGGAACATGTTGGAGCGCGCCAGGACCTGGGGCGGGATTGGGATCGGCCTGTTCCACACGTGCGAGCCTTTCCGCGTCTTCGTTGCTTCTGTGGTGATGTTCGTTGCCCAGCGTCGCCCTCTCCCTGCCGCATTCGACTAGGTCGA